CCGTCTCTTCTCTTGCGTCGTGCGTTTATAGGGCTGCGAATTCAGATTTCCCTCTCAATCTAGGACTCAAGTTTGAATTGGAGTCTTCTTGCACTGCTGTTTCCGATCTGCTCTCCCTCTCGCCCCTCTTCCGTCTTTTCTGGGTTAATTGGATGAATGGGTCTAGTCCTAATTTGGGCTTGGCCCAACTTCTTTATTCTTCGATTGTAGTGCCCAACTTTGACATCTTCTTCAACTCTTTGGATTCTAAAATATATCTAAAATTATTTGTCAATGAAAATAATATTTACAAAATAATTGACAAATATAAATATGCTCAAAATCATGCATTTTATGTATAAAATATAAATAATAGCCTAAAATGCTAAATAGAACAAAATGTGATTCTTTAGGTATAAAATGCACATAAATCATATTAAAAATGCTAAGAAGTGAGAGATTAAAATATGATATTTTGTGACTAAACATACATGTTCAAATAATATTCTCATGTTTTTCACATATTTAAAAAAATTGTAGCCACATTATTTTTAAATTTTGACCACATATTATGGAAAAAATACGTTGATCAACTTTTGGGAGTACTCTGAAGTTTCACTTTGGAAGTTTGTGAACTTCTAAAACTTTGACTACATAGTACTTATCTTCAATTTTAAAAATCCAAACTCTGAAGTTCTATTTGGGAGTACTCTTTCCGTTCTCCATAGATCTTCTTAGACACTATTTACATAATCACCTTAACTCACTTTATTCACTTATTTTTACTACTTATTTCATAGATCTTCTTAGACACTATTTACATAATCACCTTAACTCACTTTTTTTGCTTATTTTTACTAGTTATTTCATTATAATATAATCTTATCATCTTTTATTTTGTAAAACTTTGCACATAGTTTTTTTTACTATTAAAATTTTATTTTTAAATTTTAAACATACAATCAAATAAACTTAACTGAAAATAAAATCAATCAAGCCTCATAATGCATAATGAGAAAATATATGAGGAACAAAAGGATTATATAATTGGATGAGTTCTTTTTTTAGTAATTTTACATGGTGAGTGAATTGACTCTTTGCTCCTGGCCAAAATCAATTAACATTACAAAAACAAGAGTATAGTATAGAGAGGGTGTGTATACACATTACACAATCTCTTACCCCGGGCCCTGCTCAGAAGTAGAGATCAGATTTAATTAACATTATTAAGAAGTATTAATTTGTTATATTTAAATGCTTATTTCATTATGAATATAATTAAAGGGGGGAAAACACACTTGCACAATTCATAATCGAAAAGTAAGACAATGGAATAGATTCATCTATGCAAGAGTCTCCACCTCCCATAGGAAACATGAAAGAATATCCAGACACATTTGAGCTACAGATGATAATAACCCTAAAACTCAAGTTGAATGGCACAAAAGGGGAGAAAAAAATAATGATTATGAAGAATGTTAAAAATGGTGTCAGCCTATTAACAATTCTGATAAATATTAAGAATTCAAGAGGAGCTGGTTTCACCGGCGGATATGGGAGGGGATTCGCTCTTCATGAGAAGGTGGGACCCTCTGCTGCTACTTATGTCGAGGCCTTGGTAACGCCCGAGAGGGTCCTGCTGCTGAAATGCATCTGTGAGAGCCTGTAAAGATGCAGACGAGAGCATGGTGGCGGGAGGGTGGTTGTGCTGGGAGGAGGATGTGTTTGGCTGTGGGAGGGAGTGAAATTGTGGGAAGAAGGGTGATTGGTTATTGGTGTAAGGACTGTGCTGTTGGATTCCCAAGGTGTAAGCATCAGATGAAGAAGATGACATTTCTCCTGTGGCTATTCTCAGCCTCTCAACTTCATTCTTTAGGGCTTCATTCAAAGCTGTATTTTCAAGATGGCAAAAAAAAAAAAATCAGTGCATAAAAATGCTAACCATGATTGTTTCTTTTCTCTTTTATCTGAGAGTCATCTAGCTAGGGTATGTTTGGATCACTGAAGATGATGGGGGAGAAATCAAGGAGAAATTCATATGGAGAAATTCATATGGAATGTAACTTGAGTTTGGTTTTGCCTAGGACAAGACAAAGGAAAATCGAATTGAACTAAATGCATATTTGGTAAGGGTTACAACAGAAATGCCTGGAGAAACTTGCTGAGTTTTCTAAAAGGAAAAGCATTTGGTAACAACCATGGCGGCCAAAGAGGTCAAAAGCTACTCAGGCCCTGTTTTTTCAACTTTTCATTTCAGTCATTTGGATTCCAGTTAAAAAGTTAAGGTTTCACTTACTAGTTAAAGAATCCAGTTACCAATCTCCACCAGTCTCCATACTTCCGTAAAGGTAAGTCGAGAAAAGAACATGACCTTATAATAGTTAAGATAAGCAAATTAAGAAAATTGATTATGACAAAAATGGAGCCTAAACCGTTTGAACTACTCTGTAATTTTTTTCTCCCAAATTTTCTTTCCCTTTAAAGTTCCCATATCTTTTCTTCATTTTCTTTCCCTAGTATTTTTTGGGTTCCAAACAGACCCCTAAGGTATGGTTGGATCACGGAAAAGGCTAGGAAAAGTATTTTCTTTTATGTTTAGTTTTGCCCTGGACAAACTTAAAAAGAAAAAAGAGATCAAAATGAAAAATACTCCTTAAAAATTTCAAAACTCCATTTTCATATATTTAGATTTTCTAGTGTTTATACAACAGAAATAAATGGATAAATGAGTATGAACATATACCCAATATACAAATTGAATTTGAATCTATTCCTTATCCCGAGACTTTTTTTACTTGAGCATTTTTTGGGTTCAAAAGTCCAAACAGACCCTTAAAGAAATGATATTCACCCCCACTCACCCTCTTTTCTGGTGTCACATGAAGGAGGTGAAAAGCCAGAATAGGTAAGATACATACCATCACGTAATTGAGCTTGTTGTTCCATGGCTTGCAAACGAAGTTTAAGCTCTGTGTTCTCATTACTGAGCCCTGTGGTATCCCTCTGTAGTAGACAGAAGAGTCAGTTAGGAACTGCAATCTGGGACAACTCGTTGGATTTTGTAATTTGTAGTGTACAATAAAAACACGTACAGGAACAGAATGTCTCTTGTTCATGATTTTTTGTTAGAAACAAGGTTATATTCTTGGATTGGAAGATGCTGTTTTCCTTTCGTCTACTGTTCTAGATAACCATTATTCTAAGTGTAAAGTTTAGATAATCATAACTACCCAGTATACATTTAGTGTTAGGCTGCATTTCATACTAAGGCTCTGTTTGTTTTCATAAAACTTTTTTTTCTGGTTTTTTTGTTTTGGCTCTAGAAAATATTTTCTTTTTCCAGGAAAAGATCTTCATTAAAAAAGGATTTTTCATGACTTTGTGGTATTTTCCAAAAGGCAAATATGGCTTAAAGTTGAGTAAATTTCTTCAAATCCATGGATATTGCAGCAAACCTGGAAAAGTGTAAGCTGTGCAGAAAGTGTGGTTGCTTCTGTCTGAAGAGTTTGCACTTTCCTTTCGAGTTCGGATATATATCTTGCCTTTCTCTCTTTTGACCGAGCTGCTGATTGTCGATTTGCCAGAATCCTGTAAACCATTATCAACAATCATACATTTAGATAAGGTATTCTTTCTATCTTTTATTTTCAAAACTTGAATCATTGAATAAGCAATTGTATAATTGTAAACATAAAGGGCTTTGATCACAATGTGATTATGATTCAGGAAGATGGATAACAATGCAATTAAGAAAGAGAATATTAAATCTAATATTCCTAATAGATATTCTTGAATTTTAACATTAATTACAAAATTTCATCTACAAGATTTTAACTTGACCAAGGGGCCTTAATGTGAATGGAAGAGATCAAAACAGCTAGACTCTTCTTCCTATGGCAGCATTTAATGGTAGGCTCAAGTTTGTGTTAAGATCTTAGAGCCATAGTGGTTATATGCTTTCTATAATTCATTTCAAGCAAATGAAATGATGATTTTCCTCACTTCATTGTTTTCTAGTGATTCATTTCTAGCTGACCAGATAAATGAAATGAAACAAAAAGGAAAAAATTGAAAATGAGTAAGATTTTCAAGGCAGTAAAACCAAGGTCAAAGTCATTGGAGGTTATATGGAGGAATTTAGCACAATGGCCTGGGTTTTCAGTAAATCGTAGACTAATCCCTATCCAGATTCCCAGAAAATTATCCATGGTGATCCAAAACAGCAACGTAATATGAAAACTTTGAAGGAAATCGACTATTTGGCGTAATAGAAGCTTACCTTTTAGCTCGTTTGGGATCAATGGTCCAAAGTTCAGCCAGTTTATCAGGGGGCATAGCTTTTTTGGCTTCGATTGTACTCTCGCCGAGCAGCGAGCTCGAGCTATCGACGGAGTTGCTATAGCGATGCCGGGGCCGGGCGAAGGGCTTCTCCCCATCGCCGCAACCGTCAGCGGATCCAGCGGCGGGAGAAGCATCAGCAACGCTAGATCCGCCGCCGAGCTTGTCCATGTCCATGTAGGTGGAGAAGAAGTCCTCCTCCGATCCCATCTCCTCGAAGCTTCCCGACGGCGCCGCATCGAACGGGTCCGACGCCAGATCCAGATCCTCCGGCAACCGGAAGTTCACCTCGGAGTGAGCTCTCCGGTGGTGCGACGGCTTCAATGCGGATGAGAACAACGGGTGCTGGTTCATCGTCGGCCTCGAATTGAACGGATCTTGCATTGGATAGAACTGTAATGGATTCTTTTGCTCCTGAGATCAGAGAAAGGAAGAGAAGTTGAAATAGCAGTTGTACTATTATTGGACCAGTTGAGATTTGAGAATCTTGGGGTTGCAATTATCAAATGTATTTATAAATGAGTTATTCTTTTATTTTTAAAAGTTGTAAAATAATTTTTGTGATCAATGAATTTGTGCATAATTAATCCTTCTTTAGAAAATACTCCATCCGTCCCCCTAAAATCTTCTCGTTCTGATTTTTAATTATTTTAAGGAGAGTTGAAAAAAGGTGAAAGTTTACCAAAATACCTTTAATGAAAATGGGTGGGGTGTATTAAATAAGGTGGAAAAGGTGTAATAAATAAAGTAAGTAGTGGTAGTTGTGGTATTTTAAAGGTTAAAAAAGGTAATGAGAAGATCTATGTGGGACAAATAAAAAAGGTTAATGGGAAGATCTATGGGGGACGGATGGAGTATAAAAGATGCAGAACTCATGCATACTATGAGAAAATATGAAGCATGCACCCCAAAAAATTTAATTTGATGAAAATAATCTTGTCTGTTTCGTTAAATATAAAGAATGGTCTTTTTCTATCTCTCATATCAGACGGTGTTGCCAAAGAATAAAGGCTAAATGAAAATAGAATAATCTCAAATTCAAATAAAACATTATACTGTGGTTCTAGAATATCACTCTAGAAGGGCCGGTCCTGTAGTAACAATTAAGACATGTTTATTGAGTAGATTTAAAAATGTGTGTCACACTTTTGTCAAAAAAAATATTATTTTGATGCTAGAAAATATTTTGATAAGTAAAATGTGTTATTTAATTTGCTTGGAATATCTCTTGACACAAAATATATTTATCAACTTTTGTTTTTGTACCCAAACCCATCTGAACTTCCAAATTTTGAATGTTGGGGCAAAATTCTTCATCTTGGATGTGCTTTTCCAATCTTGATAGCCCAATGACTTTTTACCCATGCATAGGGTGTGTTTTAAGGTGTCTAAAAGATTTAATCTAAAAAAAATAATGATTCTTGACTGGTTGAGTTTTTTTAAAATTGATTAGCGCTTATTTTATACTCTGGGAGTAGTATGAGATGTGAATTCTAATATCTCTTGATATCAAAATCTTTTTTTGTTGATTATGAAGCATAAAAAAATCAGATTTGACAACAAATAATTCAAATGAAAAGTTTTGATATATCCTATAATTGGGAGATAACAATATGAGAATTTGAAATTTCCTTCAACTGTCGACCGCCTCACCACCGACTACCACTATCATTGCTAGCCACCCACGTTGTTGTCTTGATGATCACGTCTGTCAATTACTAATTAAATTATCATATGCAATATCTCCAAATAATTGTATTTCAAAATTTACAACATGTATCATTTCTTTCCTATTTCAAAAGAAAAAATTATCTTAAATAATTTTACATTTCCACGTTTTTTAAAAAATAACTCGCTTTTTCGTATATGTGTGAGTTTTGGGTCGGCGTTAAGAAGTTAACAACCATTTAATGGATTTTTTAAAAATGTATGTTCGTCACAAATAAATGAAAGGTAAGATTATTTTAGACAAATTTACTTTTTTAGTCTTTTTTAATTAAAATTTAAAATTTATGTTTTTAAAAATATAACAACACAATATTGTTAGATATTTGTCTCTTTTTTTTGTTGAAAATATAGCGATTTACAAATCTTGTATTTTATTTTGAAGGAAATATAATATTGGATTATTTGAAAAACAATTCAGACTATCATTCGAGAAAGAAATTGCAATACAAAAAAGTTTTAGTGAGTTATAAAAACAATTAGTGTCATTTTGGAGAAAAAAATATTGTGTCATTTTTACAACTTTTGAACTGTTATTATGGGGAAAAAATTTGCACTGAATTATCAAAAAATCACAAGTTTTGAAGTGTTATTTTTTAAAAAAATAATACGGGTAATATATGATCATCGATAAATTAGTTTCATTGTGTAGAATAATTTGTTGTGTAATTTCACAAATTTTGGAAAACGAGTATTGTTTTGCAAAAAAACAATTATTATCAAATTACCAATTATTGAAAAGTATAATAAGTGTCGCTCTAATAAATACTTAAATTTTGTATTATTTATAAAGATAATTATAAAAAAATACATTTAAATTTAAAGTTACAAATTAAAAAAAGAGTATTCATTTAGGAAAAACAAATAATCCCTAAAATTAGCATCTTAACGACGACTCAAAACCCGTACATGTGAGGAAATGTGAGATTATATTCCGTGACAATGAAAATTGAAAAGTGAGATTATTTTTAAAAGAGCGCGAAAATGTTAGATCATTTGAGATAATTTTCCATTTCAAAATTATACTCCTTCCGTTCCAATTTAAATCGTCTGTTTTGACTTTTGGGCATATTTAAGGAAAATAAAAAATAGAGCTGATTTTCCAAAATTGACATTACTTTTTAAGAGGGGTGATGATGAATGAGAAGATAAGGTGAAGAAGTGTGACTTATTTTAGGGGTAGTTTAGGTATTTTATTTTTAAAAGTTTACGAAAACAACTAACGGACAACTTACTTTGGGACGGAGAAAAAACGCAAACAGACAATTTAAAATGGGACGGAGGGAGTAACTTATCATAATTTTTTTTCTTTTGTTTTTCTTTAGTTTCTTTAATACCTACTTCTTTAAGAAATCACCCTACATAGCACTCTAACTCACCCTAATTACACATCTAGCACTACTCATTGTTTTTAACAAATTTAGCACTTTTTTGGGGTCAATCCTTTCCTATCATGCCCTTTAACCTTTTTTTTTTCTCATTAAAAATTACGGCACTCCCTAGGCCGCACATACTCTTCTTGCGCTCGGCCGCACGTTCTCCTTCAGTCGCCCGCCATCATGCGTCCTCAGGCCTTCTCCCACGATTCCTGGGCCGATTAGCAGCGGCAATCATCAGGTTATCTCCGCTTCCTTCATCGAACACCGATTAGTAAAAGAGAAGAGGAAGTTAAAAATTAAAAGTAAGGAAGTAGGGAAATAAGCCTAAAGGTACATAAAAATCAAAATTAATAACACAAAATAAGCATGACTTCTAATCCACCACACTTTAGTTAAAACTTTATGGATCATAAACAAGGAAAACTTTTTAATCCAGAAAACTTTCCGATTGTGATTTTGGAAGTGTTAAGATTATGTGCTATGATGTGGCCAGTGTGAAGATTAAATGCCTAAATGTTGTCCTGCATTTTTAGTTTTATTTATGTCCTTAATCCTTAATATCTGAATTTGGTTCTTATCCTTAAAAAAACTTTGCATGTCAAAAAATTATAAAATAAATTTACCTAAAATAATCCTACCTTTCATTTATTTTCCAAAAATATGTATTTTAAAAAAATCCTGTTTAGTGGCCGTTAGTTTTTTAATGGCGGCCCAAAACTTGCACACATGCAGAAATGTGAGATTAATATGTATTTGTTTAATATTCTGAAGTTTGCAATGTGACTAAAACGCCTATCATGTATATATATACGATGTTTTTTGTATTCACCACCTCCATTAAATCCAGCATTTTCATTGCATATTAGGTTATTCGTCTATTCTTTGAGTTCATTCCTTTATTTAATTTAATTGAATATTTTCTCTTTTATTATTTAAAAGGAGCATCACAGATGGGTCCAAATTTGATGATATTGCTACGTGTTGATGGGACATGGGATACTCATGGAAGCTTTATATTGTGGCAGTGTAGATATATTGTGGCAGTGTATATATTGTGGCATTATATTTCAGACATTGAATTTTTGGCAGTGCATATATTGTGGCAGTGTATTTCAGACATTGAATTTTTGGAAGTACATATTGTGGCTAACATTATGGCAATGTATATATTGTGGCAGTATAGATATATTGTGGCAGTGTATTACTCCCCCCGTCCCAAAAAGATCGTTACGTTTCATTTCTTTGCGCATCACAAAAAGCAACGCTACTCACATCTAAAAATTCTAAAATTTACCATATTTACTCTTTATTATAAGATGAAATTGTTTTGAAAGTTTTTTTGGCATTTGAGACGATATAAAAAAATTTTAAGGGATGCGCAAAAAATGAAACGTAACGATCTTTTTGGGACGGAGGGAGTATATTATATCTATTCTCTTAATCTCTGAGTAGTTTTTCTCTCATTTTACAACACGTTATCAGCATGAATTTGCTCAAAAATCTCAGAATCCTTGTTCTTCTCAGAAGGTATATTTATTTAATTTTCTTCATAAACAAACTAAAATATTTTCTTAGAAACTATGAGAAGTATGCTCTGTGATTGCCCGAATTGTGGCAGTGTAGATATATAGTGGCAGTGTATATATTGTGGCATTGTATTTCAGACATTGAATTTTTGGCAGTGCATATATTGTGGCAGTGTATTTCAGACATTGAATTTTGGAAGTAAATATTGTGGCTAACATTACAGCAGTGTATATATTGTGGCAGTGTAGATATTTTGTGGCAGTGTATATTTTGTGGCAATGTATATATAATACAAATTTGTTTAATTAAGGGTAATATTGGGAATTCATCTCAAAAACTTATAGCACTGCTATTTTGCGTATTATAAGCCTATTAAAGTGTTATTTTTTTTTCTTTTGTTTTTCTTTAATTTCTTTAATACCTACTTTTTTTTCTCCTTAGCCAAACTGCCAAAGGGTAAAAGACTAAAAGTTCGAATCTACCCTTATGTACCCACTACGCTCCAAACCTGCAAAATTTGATATCCCCTAGAATTCCATTTGAATTCGAAAAAGGAAAATATTTGCTCATTCGCGCCCCAAAAAATACGAATTTCTCGTCGACAAATTTACACAAATTCACATTATTTATGCACAATTTGCTCCGACTGAGGCTCGGCGCGCTCTATCTACAAATTCAAATACCCCTTCTGCCATTTCACCAAGATTCCAAAACCCTCTCCTCTATCTTCCTCCCAAGATTACGAACCCTAATTAATTTCAAACTTGAATTTCGAAATTCTCAAGATTTCACTGAAACCGTCGACTCTCTTTTCCCAGACAAATCTTGGGTTTCTGGGAGAAGAGTCAAAGCCCTAATCTTTAAGTCGAATCAGTGTGTTTGAGAGATTGATGGATGAAGGATGTGAAGTTTGCTGACAAGTCTCCAAGGGTATTCTCAGATCTGAATATAGAGCTCGGATTTTAGTTCTTTATGGGATTCTGACTTTTTCCTTGTTCTTGGTTTAGTTCTTCTAGGTCATGGCTGGGAAGAAGAGAGGAATTGCAGAAGTTGAAGAAAGATCTCAACTTTCCCACAGGAAGTTGAAAATGAGGGATCTTGAATCTGTGTTTCGCTCTGAAGGTTTGTTACTTTGTCTGTTTGATTCATGCATTGGGATCTCTCATATTCAGGAAATTAAATGGCGGGACATTTTTTAATATGTGAATCTCTTCAATTGTATAATGCTTGTGTTGTGTCTTATAAACGAATTATATTCATCTGTAGTGTTATATTCTGTGGTTTTAATTAGGTTTTATTTCCATTAAATTATATTTTGAATGTTTGATTAGCTCATTATTTTATCTTTTTTTATTCAATTGTGTTTTAACCTTAAAAAACACTTAACAATGGAATAGTATCACTTTTGGGTCAGTGTTTGCCCTTCGCAACAAAACATATTCCCTTACCCCTTGTGGTTTCTTCTACAATAGAAAAATGTTCAATGATTTGTTGCAGTGAAAGTTGCAGAACTTAATATAACGCTTGTGTAAATTTTTACATTGCAATTCTAATTAGATTTGTGTTAGTGCCATTCAAAAGAGAATATTTGATAAGGTTTTTCTCGGATACTATCATATTTATTCAGTTGTATGATGAACTTGACAGAGTATTAGAATTATTTTCTTGTAATGTACAGTTTTTTTGTTGTTTCTGCTATAAGAATTCTTTTTATTGGTGTTGTGTAGTTAAACATGTAGAACTTGAAAATTTCACAATTCTTGTTTAATCTAAAAACACAAAAATGACCCTTGCTATTTGCTATGCTTGTATTACTACCAATAAGTGAAATAATGAAATGACTAATTTCTCACCTCTCATTTCATCAAAAGCAGAACAGCATGGACCACTTGATCTTAATGCCACATTTGGAGCTTCATCAAGCATCACTGTCAGCAGTTCTTCTGCTGCACATATAATCCAAGAGACACATCGCAAGCCCGATCTATTCGCCATAGATCTAAATGCAGAAGACGTCTCTAGCACAAGTTCTGTTGGACAATTAGAGGAGAAAGATTCACTGAAGGTGTGGAAAGAAATGAAACAAAATGGGTTTCTCTCCAACTCTCATGGAGGAATACCAAAGGCGAGCGGGAGAAGGGGTAAAAATGAAGGGATGAAGAAAAAGATGGAACTTGCGAAGAAAGAACGGGTGGATAGGTTTGCAAAGATTGCTGCCCCGACCGGTTTGTTAAACGGGTTGAACCCGGGGATCATTAACCATGTGAGAAACAGTAAACAAGTTCATTCCATCATTGAAGCCCTCGTGAGGTCTGAGAAATATGATAATCGTAATGGTGGGGGCAAGAATGGAATTCTTCAACCAAAGAGCGAGGAGATAAAGGAGGAAGAAAAAGTGCATATTTCTTTGAATTCCGAATCCACTGGAGGGAGTTTATGTATACCTGCGGGAAGGGTTTCTGAAATGGCAAATTTACACTCGGAGGATTACATGGATTCGAAGGACAATGTACTTGAATTGAAATTGTCATCTGCCACAACTGTTACCTCGGATAACAATAGTTCGTTGTCAACTGTTGAGCCAGTAAACCCAACCAACGTTACTTCACTTTCTGTCAAAGGTTGGTAAAAAATGCTTCTGGTGATATCTTGATGTCTTATGTTTTATAACTTCATTAACAGACTAGGAGTGAACATTTCAGGTTTAGTTTTGTTGTAATTTTGGTTTCTAGTTAAAATTATTGGGTTCACTTTGAAATGTTTTGAAGGAAATTGTTTCTGATTTATAACCAAACTTACTTTGGATTGTTTTTTTAATCTATTATGGAGCTTATGTCTGTCCAAACTTAGTTTATTGCAGAGTAATATAGTTTAGGGATAACATTACTAACTAAAGTCCAAAACTGAACCACATATGAATGATATGATCCAACTTCTGGTAGTGGTCAATTCAGCACGGTTCTTTTTCGTCAAGCCTAACTGAAATTCTCACTCATAAAAAACCCATAAAGCTTTTTAGTAATGCATAACATTGGGGCTTGGGTGAGGTAAGGCTAGGTCAACTTAGGAGAAAGTATAAGCTTCCAATAGAATCCTAAAAAGCCTAGAACCGAGATATCTTGACTTGCTAGATTCCAATATTAACCTTCTAAGCTCATGAGGTCGTTATTAATTTGCTCATACTTATAAATTTTCAGCTGCCAATGTTGCTGGTCAATGGTTGGATTTGCTTCATCAAGACATTAAAGGACGTCTTGCAGGTAGGCAATATACCTTTTGACTATGTTTCGAATGCGGAAAAAGGCAGGGAAAATAAGAAAAGTGTTACATTTTTTTTTTCATTGGCATCTATTTTTCTCACTAGCAGTGTATGGATAATGCACTAAATTACATTTTTTCTTCATTGGCATCTATATTCACTTTCGACCGTATAATTTCACCTTCCTCAAAATGTACTAAGACGAGGCAAAACCAAATTCCTTCCATTTTGGTGAGGATAGTGAGCGAAACCCATATTTCTTTCTTTTCCATGCAAATTCCTTGAACCAAACATAGTGTTAATGTTTGCGTTCTCATGGAAAATGTCGAGTATAATCAACCCTGATTAAAACTTTTAGACATATTTATAATTTATAGTTTTGTTTTTACTTTACTGGGTTAGTTGCTGCTGCAGTCGTTGTATAGCTAGTTTCCACCTTTTTTCTTTCTGTGGGTATTAACGGTATTTACTGGAATCCAAACAGCCCTTCATTGTAATGGAGCTCACTAACTGTGTTCATGCTCTGTATGTCAGCGCTAAAACGTAGCAAGAAGAGAGTTCGGGCTGTTATTCACACGGAATTTCCTTGCCTAATCTCCCGAGAATTTTCTTCTAATCTAGAAAATGACCCTTTCCATTCACAAAGTTCAAATGTTGGCCAATGTGACAAAGCTACCCTCAACGCACATCATGCTAGATGGAGTTCCTTGTTTGGCCAGATGGATAAAGCTCTGTGTGAAGAAGAGAGACATCTGGTGAGTTTTACTTTGGTGGATTACAACGTTCTTGAAATTCAGCTCTTCTAGTCATTTCAGCCAAATAGTCTCTACGAAACATGCCCTTTTGCCCAAGTTATTTAACTGTTTAAAATCAAAATATCAGGAAGAGTGGCTGAAACAGGTTCAGGAAATGCAGCAGCAATGCGAAAATGGACTTAGCAAATATAACGTGCTGTTTGGGTTGCCTCAGCCTCCTGCATTACAAAATGACTGCAGGTGCGTGTACTCATTTTGCACGGTTTCGAATACTCCGTCCGTGGGACCCACAAAAAGGTTCCATGATGGATTTGACGCAAGTATGAAGGAAGGTGAAATTATGCGGTCGAAAGTGAAAATCGTATTAAATATATGATTTTTGAAAAAAAAACTCCTAACTTTTTATGATGTGTTTGTTTGTGCAGATTGGAGAAAGAAGCAGAGAGAGATTTAGCAGTCCGGGCTGCGGCAGCCTCCATATATTCGACGTGCTGCTTTTTATCGTCTATGGAGAATCCGCCGTGCTGCTGATCTGTCTTCTAACTCAGTCCCTCGTCTAATTTTCGCGCATTTTTCTTAGATTGTTATCTTGATCCATAAAGCAGCTTAGCTGCCTGAGATTTCATTAGAGTTCTTCTGTGAATCATGTGTTTGGTTGAGACTTGCCATGGCTAATTTTTTTTTCTTTTTTTTTAAAAAAAATTATATTGCTTCTTGGAAATATGATTTGGTTATTAAACAAGCCTCTTGATATGTAATGGCAGGTTGTGTGCATGTAGTGTTAGGCCTACTGTTGTTTGGTAACTAATGGAGAATACATATTTTTGAACAGTTTTTTCTTCTTAATTCTGCAAATTAATTTTCTTAATAACATTTTTTGCGGTTAGTTTTATGTGTTTTGAGAGGTTGATATTGATGGTCTTAAATCACTTGGCTTATTTTCGGTGTCATTTGATTGGTTCTGATCTGAACTTATTATGTCTTAAGTTTGATTTGGTCTTTGGTATGTGATTGTAATTAAGGTTGTTTTTGATTTAGTCTAATTTGATTCGATCTCGTCTGATTTGATTTTTATAAGAATAAGTTATGTTAATATGAGCATTTTCTTGCTAGGTTATTCTTATTGCTTGCGGAGTATTATCTATTCTTATTCGAATCAATTTTTTGATAAAAAAACATCTTTAAATATAATTTGAATCAAATCAGATTAAACTAGATATAATTTGGTCTAGTTTAATTTGATTTGATCTAATTTAATCTGATTTGATTCAAATTATATTTAAAGATGTTTTTTATCAGAAAATTGATTCGAATAAGAATAGATAATAGTCTGCAAGCAATAAGAATAACCTGATGAGAGGTATCAAAAACACTTCCATTTAGAAAGATTGTGGTATCCGGAGATTTCAAAATTTGAACCTTGCTTAGACTTCACCAACTTACAAAAGATAACTAACACTAATAACTACTCCGTATATTAGAATGTAGGTATTGTTTATATTTTTTGTCAACATATTTCACTGAAGTTCAAACGTGTGACCTCTCGTTTCATGCTCATGCACTCACCATATGAGCCCTTCAAGTGTTATAGTTAAATGTTGAAACCAATCAATAGCACGAAACTAAATCAATAGCGGCTTCAATTCACGACGTTCTGGTAATTTCATGGAACTCGTACCATTTTGTTACTATTCAAACGGTTTAATACGGTTCGTTTTTTCTCGATACAAACATGCTAGTCATGTTACTCTAACGTGAAAAAAACACCAAATATGTTCTTAATGCAAAAATAATGATAATGATCACAATAATAAAATAGAAAACATGTTACTCATGCAACATTAACATGAGAAAAAAGAGTTAAAACACCAATATGTCCTTAATGCAAAAAATAATGATCAATAATTAAAAAAAACTAAATACAAAATAGAGATTCAAGAACAAGCAATAAACTAAGGATCAACTTTCTCTAAGTCAAAGGTCCAAATTTACTAATTTACCCTTCCAAATCCAGCAGTTCATCATGGCTTTCTGAAGGATTTCTGATCATCTCCAATATCCTGACCACTTCAGCCATAGAAGGTCTGTTTGAAGGGACCTGAGATGTGCATATCAGCCCCAACTTCACCACCGGTGCCGCCTCGTCCGCCGGAAACTTCCCCTGAAGCCTCTCGTCAACGCATTCCTCCACCGCGCCCTCCTCGACTGCCGCCCTCACCGTGTCCACTAGCACCACCACGTCGTCCTCCATGTACTCCACCGGCCTCTTTCCCGTCACGATCTCCAGAGCCAGAATCCCGAAACTGTACACGTCGCATTTTTCTGTTATCTTGCCTGTTTGGAGGCCGAATTCCGGCGCCATGTAACCGAGCGAGCTCTGGATTTTGCTTCTCAACACATATCGGTCGAGCATCGAGAGCAATCTGAACAAATGATGGGTTAATAGAGTTCTAGTTCAGAACGGATTCAATCTTTTAGTATGATTTGGCCCAGACATCTTATACCCTAGTTGAAGGACTCCTACTGTTAGAATATAAGAAACATTTTCTGAGCCACAACCACAAGCTTGAATTGGTTCCTTGACATGATATCAGAGCCTAGTTGACTAAGAGGTCACGAATTCAAAACTCAGCGCCACCCAATTTAAAAAAAATAAGGTTTCACGTGCAAGGCTCGAAAAAAAACTACGTCTGCACGTGAGGGGGCGTGTTAGAATATAAGAAACATTTCCTGGGCCACAACCACAAGCTTGAGCTTTTGGTTGAATTGGTTCCTTGACACCTACCTTGGGGTGGACAAGGTTCCAGTTCGGACCTGAACCGGACCAGTGGGCGGGGGATAGGGAACCGAACTGGAACCGCTGGTTCTGGCATAGAACCAGACCGTGTTCACCCCTAGTGCTTAAGGAAAGTGAGAAATTATTTATGAATATAGAGAGACCAAACCTGGCTAGACCATAGTCTGAAACTTTTGGTTCACCAGAGCTTTCATCAATTAGGATGTTGCTTGATTTCACATTGTAATGGATAATGTTGATTTGATGCAAATGGGCCAAGCTCTTGGCCGACCCGAGAATTACGTCGAACCGCTCGGCCCAAGTCAAGTTCGGGCCCGACATTTCGTGGAGCCGTTTATGCAGATTCCCTCCCTCCACGAACTCGTAGATGAGAAGCTGTAATGCCGGAGTCCAATAATACCCTTCAAGCCCGACCACATTCGGGTGCCCGCGGGCTTTACCCAACCTTACGACCACCCTTTCGAACTCTTCTCTAGACTTGACCAGGCTGGAAACAGCCAGCTTCTTGATTGCCACCGGTCGCCCATTGCTCAGAACCGTTCTGTATACGGACCCGAACCCGCCCCGACCGACCTCGCATTCCCTGTTAAGTAGAGGGTGATGGGCACCCGCATCGAAACCACGGGTACCTGAAAACATGACTAACATGCCCGAGTCCACATCCGTCGACGACGAGCGACTTAACTCATCGACGCCGGAGAATGTCGGGTCGGCCCGAGGAGAGTCCGCGGTGTCGGACCGTACGGTGAGATTCAAGACGGTGACGGTGAGCATCCCGACAACTATGACCACGGCGGCACCGATGGCTATGAGGGCGGAGACGCTGAAGACTTTCTTCTTCCTTTTATGGGTGAAATTTTGAGGGGCGGAGCCGTCCGAAGCGGAAGGGGTGGAGGCACTCACGTCATCGGGATTCAACACAATGGGTTTGGGAAGGACGGAGTGGCACGGCTTTCCGGGAGCGGCCACACAAAGGGCGGGGTTGTCGGAGACGGAGGAGGGCGAAATGGTATTAAAAAATTTGCCGCCGGGCAATTCGCCGCGGAGATGGTTGTGCGAGATGTTGAATGAGGAGAGGTTCGGGAGGTTAGCTAGCTGATTTGGTATTCTCCCGGTGAGTGAGTTGAAGGAGAGATCCACGTGTCGAAGGGCAGCGAGCTTCGCCAGCGTGGCGGGTATCGGACCACTTAGGTTGTTCTTTGAGAGAAACCTGCAAAAGGAATGACATTATTTTGGGACGAACAGAAAAAGAAAAAAAAATGAAACACAAATTGTGGGGTTTAGGGAGTATAAATTGACTTGAATACCCATTTTGATATTCTAACTAGGGCTAAAACATGCTCCATATATACCAAAATATGACCTTCAATGTTTTTATGCGAAAATATGACTTATAATGTTAAATAAGGTCAAAACATAATGCCAAAAAAACACTGTAAAATGCCAACACACAATGCCAAACGGCAGGGCGTTTCACAGTGTCAACACTTCCATTTGAGGGATAAAAAGATAGGAAGTTTCATTTCCGTACGAACAAAGAACCCATTGTAGCATGAACGAAGTACGAACACACACACAAAAAGCATACAAACCATTTCTGCTATGTATACATATTCAGTAAATGAAAACTGTTGCAGGCATATAGAATTCAAGAAAGAAGATAAAAAGGGAATTGCAGGGAACTTACAGTGACACTAGTGCCAAACAGTTCCCTATCGAAGTCGGAATTTCTCCAGTCAAGTTGTTCTTCTGTAGCTTCAGTTCCCTTAGAGAGGTCATCCTGCCAATTTCCAAAGGGATACTACCATTCAATAGATTCCCACTCAAATCAAGCATATTCATGGATTTCAATCCTCCTATACTCTTAGGAATGGTTCCTGTAAGTGCATTTCCCGACAGATTCAAGAATATCAAGCCATTGAGATGTTCAAGAACCGAAGGTATTTGCCCTGTAAATCTATTCACAGAAAAAATAATCTGCTGCAACCCGACAAGCTTGTTTAACCAAGAAGGGATTTCACCAGATAAAGAGTTGTGACTAACATCTAAAGATTGAAGCTTTATGCAACTCCCTGTGGTCTCGGGCAAGTTACCCGAAATGGAATTCTTGGATAGGTTCAATAGCTTCAGTGACTTGAGATGACCGAGTGACATTGGAACCATGCCCGAAAAGTTGTTTTCTGAAAGATCCAAAGTCTGAAGGTTTCTCACTACCCCTACCCACTCTGGTAAGTTACCCGAGAAAGCATTTTGTCTCAAGATTAGGTCACGGCACAGCCCTAGATTCCGGATGGTATCAGGAAGTTCCCCAGAAAAAGAATTTTGGCTCAAATCCAGGACCCTCAGCAGCAAACAGCTCCCTATCCAGTAGGGCACTTTGCCCTTAAATTGATTTTTCTGCAGATATAACCCTGTCAGATTGCACAAACCTTCAACATTGTCTGGAATCTCTCCCTCGAGCAAATTATATGACAGATCAAGAAACCTTAGGTAATTCAAAGACCAGATGGAAAAGGGTAACTGTCCCGCAAACTGATTTGAAGACAAATTCAAGGAGGATAATCCCATACACATCCCCAAGCTCTCGGGGATCTCACCCGAAAAGTTGTTATTAGCCAAAGAAAGTGATCTTAAGGACCCACATTCTTGAAAAAGATCCCTGGAGATTTGCCCAGATAAGCGATTCCCGCTCAAGTTTATTGTCTCGAGATAAGGAAGCAGGGTAAAATTGACATTCAACCCTCCTGTAAAATTGTTCATCGCCAGAGAAAGCTTTCTAAGAGACTGCAACCTAAGAAGGCCTCTACTAATCTTTCCTGAAAGCCTAAACCCATCAAGATTAAGCTCGGTGACTCGGCCATGTCCACATCTGACTCCTTTCCAATAACAAGGACTTTCGTCTTCCTCATTCCAAGAAGTCAGATTTCCATATGGATCTTGAATGTCAGCCTTAAACACAATCAACCCTAGAACATCATCATTCAATGAAGGGTACACGGCACTGACCAAAAAGGGTGCTAAAACATTCAGGAACAGAACAAAGAACACCCTTTCCATCTTAACTCATGAAGATGCAGCTCAACCCATAAAGATGCCGCCTTTCCCTTCTTATATTTCTTGTTTATAGAGCACTGGAGCTGAAAATGACTGGTTTCAAATCTTTAGCCCTAAAAAATCTTATCTTTTTTCTCACAACGGCTAGAAATGAAGACTTTAGAGAAAAACCCAGAACAGGAAACTACAATAAAACATCAAAAAGATAGCTAAACTGGAAAGAACAAACCCTTAGAAATTGAACTTGTAAAATCCCCAGTGAAGGGAAAGTGGGAAAAGCTCAAATCAACAAAAGAAAAAGTGAAAGAACCGAGAGATGAATACGGAAAGAGATAAAAGGAGATAAAAGAAGCCAACAATTGTCAGGAGATTAAAGTTGATTTGAAGAAGAATTGCATTACCAGAAATGGAATGGGAAGTTAGGGGCCCGAGATGATGAGATGTCGCCGGGAAAGTAAAGAGCCGGCACCGGAGAAGTGGCGGTATTTGGCAGGTGCGAGAGAAGGCGAGTCGGGAAATGTGACGGTGGCGTTGGGTGGTTTTCCGGCGAAAACAGTGGGACAGTGAAGCATTAAAGGCTCTCTTTATCTTCTAACTGTTTGTCTGAGCGGCGGACAGAGTCTTTATTTAGTGGGTAAAAAAGATTAATTACTGTAATTAATAAAAGGAGCAGATGGAAAAGAAATGTGTGGGGGTAGCTATGTACTTTCCTTTTTTTGTGGCTTTTTAGAAGATAAACTCATTTTCCAAAAAAAAAAAAAACTTACACTTAGTGTATACGAAAATGTTTGGTTTAAAAACACAATAGTCACAAACATCATAAACTTACTATTTGTGAACTTCAATGAAAAAAGTTAAATGGTCTAAAATGATTCTAAAATGAAATTTCAAACCACAATTAGTAAGTTTGTGAAGTTTGTAAATATTCTGTTTGTGAACCTAGCACAAACACAATTGTCAAGAACACAATAGTCACAAAATTCACAAACTTACGGAGTACTCTTTATGATTTAAAATTTTATTTTAAAATCATTTTAGACCATTTATTTTTTTTCATTGAAGTTTACAAATAGTAAGTTTGTGAAGTTTGTGACAATTGTGTTTGTGAACCAAGCATTTTCTGTATAAAAGAGTACAACAAATACTCTTGAATTTTTTAGAAATTGCACGGTTTCTTCTTAAACATTAAAAAATGCATCAAATACTCTTAAATTTCTCAGAAATTACACGATTCGCCCTGAACATTTAAATAAATGTGATAATTTAGGGGAAGAGTACTTTGAAATTCACAAGGGCTAGATGAATCATATTCGCAATTTTCGTGCGTGGAAGCAACACACTCTCTATCTAGCATTTTAAGACCAACAGTGCAACATTTTAAATTGTTTAAGAATATTTGCTGCAGTTTTTAATGTTCAAAGATAAATCGTGCAATTTTTGAAAAATTCAAAGGTAAACTACGCACTTTTTAATGTTCAGGAATAAATCATGCAATTTTTAAAAAAGTCAAGGTAAGCGGTGTACTTTTCTTTCTTAAAATCATACGACTAGGGACTAGGGAGTATAAACTTTGCTTTGGTTAACGGCACATATGCGAAATTACTAGCACAAATGTTATATCCATGTTTCTATAATTTTTTATGATAAATTAAATTCTTGATGATAAAAATTAATATGGGAAATGAGAAAATTTCTATTAGTTCGGGTGTTAAATTATGACACCTATTTTATTTATCACATGTACAAATAAAAGTAGATAAAAACACATAAGAGAGAGGGAATATATTAAATAATACGGAGTATTTCACAATGCTCACCAATGCCGTAAATTACAAATCATATTAGAACACTTTTTTCCTCACTTTATGAAAGGCAGACAACATCCCAAAGTCTAAAGAATTTTGATTATTTATAAAGAATTGAATTACGCAATAAATGCCCCAAAAAAATGGTAGCTTTCTGAGAGAACTAATGGTACTATTACACAAGGAGTATATGATATTATGGTCAGAAAAAATTATATAGATATACATACTATGTATGCCAGTAAATCTCATGCTTCACACCCCGCCGGATGACGTCCGGTTAATTCTTTGAGCACCTAATTTGGGAGCGGTGGGTTTACTCCGGGCCCGCCCAACAGACGGTCTTGATGTGGTCGTGGGTACGGGTGCAGCAATGGAACCCCATAGATCATCCTCGGCGGAGGTTTCGGTCTTTTTGGCTGTTGTTCTTGAAGCGGGGCCCACGGAGTCCCAGGGGTCGTTATCATAGCCGCCTGCTCTTGAGCCTGCGGCTTTGGACGTTTTTGGGACAGGTGCAGCTACAGATCCCCACAGGTCATCTTCATCTGAGTTCATCTTGGATATGCTCTTTGGTCTCGGAATAGAAACTGAAACATATGGTAAAAAAAATTAAAAACAAATGATCAGATTTTGTTGATTAGGTTATCTAGCAAAATACGGAGTAAGTAGCTTTTGACTTGCTTATTTGGCGGGAATGGAGGTTTCTAGACGTTTTTCCATTCGGAAGATTCAGGTGAAAATGGGCACCAATGTCTCTAAGGACTCGTTTGGTGAGCGAAACATGATCAATAAGATATGGTTTCTGAAATCAATAAAATATACTCCCTCCGTTCCTTTAAACTCTTCCACTTTTGACTTTGGGCAAAAATAAGGAAAGTGTAATTTTGGTTGACTTTCCAATTTTGCCCCTGATGTGATGGGTAAAAGTAAGATGTGATGGATAGATTATTAGAGAAAAAGTATGATGTGATAGGTAGGGTATGAAAAAGTAAGGGTAAAAGTGGTTTTTTAATATAAAGTAGAAGTGGAATGGGGAGAATTTGACATAAATCCAAATTCAAAATTTGTAAGTTTCCCAAACATGGAATTTGAGCCAAATCCGGATTTGAAATCCAAATCCATGTTCCCAAACATACCATTAGGGAATTCAAAAAAAAACGAAAGGGGAAGGGTTTTGTAGAACGGATGGAGTAATATCTAAAATGAAAGTGTTTGGAGAATCTAATATGGTGGCCAGTGACAGTGGATGGCTGGCGACCATGGGTGGTCGACGGCAGTGGCTGGCAGTTGAGGGAGATATCAAAACATCGAATTGCTATCTCCCAGCATCACGAGGATTGTGATATCGGGAGATATCAAATCTGAACCCTGTATAGGCTTCATCAAACACCCACAAAAGGGTTTGATATCATGTGCACACCAAACAAGCTCTAAATCTATCTTCTCCCTATATTCTTTACACCCCTCTTCTTTTTTTTTTTTTGCTTGAGCCTAACACGTGAACATTAAGTTCTTAAAACTGGGCACAGCGAGGTTCAAACTCACGACTTGTTGATCAACTAGGCTCTGTACGACTGTAACATGTTATGGAACCAACTCAACCACTAATATTTGTGGAAGCTATAAAACCTTGTGGTTGTGGACTACATGTTACGTTACTCCAGGCCTTGTGGTTGTAGGGCCAAGAAGGTTTTATATGCTAACAATTTCTATTATGAGAGGATTCGGCTAAAACCCTTTTGGCCTTTTTGAATGCCTAGTATTCTATTCATAATGTCTTATATAAACCCCTTCTTAGGCGCCAGGATGCCTAGATTTTATAGTTTCTTTAGCCCCTCCTAATTCTACTCAGAACCTGACTAACCTTGATTAACCCTAAACTAGGGGGGAGGCGCAAAGTTGCAGTGTCGTGACGACTTTTTTACAACATAATGGACTGGGCCTACCTTGAGATTTAGGTTGAGAGACAGGACGTTTCTGAGCAGCTTGGATGTTTGAAAGAGCTGTAGGTGGCTTTTGCTCTTCAAGTGGTTCCATATCATCCCATACGTTTTCTCCATCGTCTTGAATTCCGTTTTCGAGCTCTCCCCATCCATCAGTAGAAGTAGGGGAAGCAGGAGCTGGCTGGTCAGCAATATCAGTGCCAGAACTAGAACGAACTTGGATTTGAGCTATATTTGCGTCATCTGTAACTGCATCGCCATTGTAATTAATAAGAACATATATCGAAACAAAATTGAATGGTAAATAGTAAAGGAAATTTGAAAGTGTAGAAGCGGTAAAATACTAAAATATCTACTTTTAATAAGCAGAACATTGATAAAAATAGCTTTCAGTATCCACTAAGGATTTGTTTGGATGGAGGGTTGTTTGGAGGGGAAAGTTTTGGAGAGCTTAGTTTATACTGCGTACCATCCACATGAACAAGGATCTTTTGACACCAAGTAATTTGAGGGTCCTACGGAGCTCCGTTGGACCCGAAACCCGGTACTACCCACTAACTCACACCCCAAACACAACCCCCAGCCCACCTAGCATTTCCGCAAAAATGCTGGGGGCTAAGGTGGAAGCAGGGGGTTGGGTGGGAAGGGGGAACGGAGCACTGTAGGGCCAATGTGTCATATTATGACACCCAATTGCGTGTCAAAAGAACCGTGGGGCTTCCACAAATAATAGATATATTTTATGTCTAAAACAGAGCTAAGTGTCATTGTTGGCAATGTTTTAGCTTCGGGTAAATATTGAACTAAATCAAAATAACATATTTAACTTCCCAAGCTTCTAACTTTCAATGATCTTTTGGGAAGTAATGCAAAACTGATTTAGGCTACGATAGTATTATATTTTTTGTGAAGCAAATTCCCCTTTTAAAAAGTTGGTTGAGTATAAAAGTAGAAAGATTAGCAAACAAAGTGNATAGAAGGCGGCCAAATCCGGGATTAATCAGTGCTATGGAGAGATTTTTACAATAATGGTGAAAAGATATTTTACCCGAGCTAGCATTAGAAATAGAAGAAACAAGTGGTGCAGTAGAATTTGCAGATGCAACAGAACTATGCTCAGAAGGTTTGCCTTTGAGGGTCAATGAGCTCATTGCCCAGCTGCATTATTATAACAAATAAATTAGATGTATTTATGAGTATTTATCAGTGAACCATGAAGTCATTAATGCATAGAAACGTATTAACTACACCTGATTCTATTTGTCTATTCACTTTATTGGAATTCTAGAACAGATTTATTCAGAAAGTTGTATAGAATTTGTAAATTAATCACAACATAGCTAATCTACCAAAATAAATATGTCCCAAAAGGATAGTCATGTTTGGTTTAAGGTACAACTGTTCAGTGAAATCCTAATATTTTTAAAATTAATATTTTGGTTTAGCATCATACTTAACTTGTTTGTAACCCTTGTGGCACATTACGTGAAAAAATGTCTTTGTTTGATGAAATATGATTTTTTCGTGACAAAGGAAGCTTTTAAAACATGACTATTTTTGGGAGAATGCAACTAATCCTTGTCTGCACATCTGAAACAACAAATTTCATTTTTCTTTTCATGTTTTCCAATGTGCTTTGTATTAAATTAAATCTCTGAAAAGTTAAATTGAGAAAAATTAAATAGTGCTCTATGTTTTTACTAAATGGAAAAATAAAAAGGTCCACCAAAAACTCAAAAAACAGGGGCGCCCACAGAGTTTAAATGATCACACATGCAAGTATATACAAACAAACTCAAAGGCTAGATGAGTGTGCCTTAACATACCCAAGCAAACTTGCATTTCCAGGAATAGAGGTTGTTT